GCCGTTTTGTGGGGGCTGTGGGAGCGTGCTCGGGGCCGCACAGCGCCAAGGGGGTGATGGTGCAGCCGCCCACTGTCCAGTACTCGCTCAGTGAAACGCCTGTGGAAGCCGGCCATCATGTCAGCATGCATCCTCCTTCAGGTGAAATACGTCCAAGTCTGTAGAAAAGTTGTCTTAAATTCTGAATTGCCTTTTCAGTTTTTGTTGCAAGGTGCTGTGCTCACTTCACAGAACTTCCAACAGTGCTCTTGTGTACCTGAGTTGGCAGCTATGTTACATGTCAAAAAGCAACTCTTTTTGTGTTGCCTGTTGTTAGCCAACCCAGGTTTGTACAGCTGGATTAGTAAATGGAAATGGCACTTCTCTCTCTTCAGCATTCTGCTTCCTCTCCGCTATTCTGTTGCTCCTAGTATTATGTAATACTACACTTCCTCTTGAAAAAGGGTAATGGTGAAATGACTCATAATATGACTGCACTTAGGTATTCCATTTATAGTACATATCTTGGCCCATTAATAATAAAAACGTGTATTAGCCAGTCGAGGTCATGGAGGGGGCATGAAAGAACCAGGTACCATTCAGGAAGATGTGTGTGATTCTGCAGACCTGAACCGACTTAGGGGTGATCGTTGCCACTAGCTGCTGTTAAATCTGCATGCTTGAGGGTGCCATGCCAGTAGCTTTAATCCCAGTTCTGAGCACTGCGTAACTGCCAGCAGCATGTACTTGACCAAGATGAAGCTTGGCTAAATAGTCATGCTTCTTAAATTAAGCAGAACAAAGAAGTTTATGCCAATTTTTTTGCTCTTTGTTACCTTTACGGTTTGCTCTTAATGCTGGCTTGGCTGATATGAATAAGGTTAAAATGAAACGAGTAACTACTGTCTCATCTGAAATAAAACCTTCGGGTGCAAGGTTAACCTATTACTTAAACTGCAGTGGTTTAATCTGTTAGAAATTATTAGGTTGACATTTATGTCATGCGGCTGTTGTGGTTTTCACCTGATGTTCCACCCCGAGAACCAGATTAACATCTGAGGAACTATTTCCATAATAAACAATTTTACAGTGTTTTCAAAAGGAAGGTGTTTATCTGAACATTTTGCAGATAGGGAAGCACAGGCAGAAATGCTCAATGACTTGACAAGGTCATTGTGGGAGACTGAATAGCCAGCTAACTGTCTCAAAGCTTGCTCCTTTGTGTGGCGATCTGCGAAGATCAGCGTTGCCGCAGGCAAGGTGGTTTGCAGTCTTGCTGAAGCAGCGGACACCCAGGCGGGGCTGCCTGCCCACCAAGGCTTGCAGTTTGTTGCTACTTAAAGCATGCGAGCAGAACCCTGCCCCTACCCAGCAACAAGAAAGCGCGCGAACGGAGCCCGCCAAAAGTAAAGCGCGTGAAATGTGTGCGCATGTGCTGGACTGTGCTCTATAAAAAAGGCTGCAGGCTGAGACCGCGGGGGGGACCTCGTGGGAGACTGTCAAAGACTCCGGAGGAAGATTGCTGACCTTGTAGGAGACCACCGAAGACTCCGCGTGCGATCACTGAAGACCCCAGAAGCATGGTGGTGACTGCTCTCTTCTATCTGGACCTCTCGCTTGATTTCTTATCTTTCCTTCCTTCCTTCCCTATTGCTGCTTTCCCTCTTTCCCCCGAACCTCGTTTGTGTCTTAATCTCGCTCGAAGGGATCGAACCTGAAACAGAGGTTGGTCTAGCCACACCTAGCCTCCCAGGCTCGTCTGCGGTCGGCTCAAAAGCAAGGGGGCCTTCCTCTCATCCAAACAAAATTGGATCCTAACATTCATCCAGAAAAATCAGTAATGAAACAGGGAATACAGTGTGGGCCTCCTAGCTGCCAGTTGCCTTCTCTAATCACTGCTTCCCCAGGAGGATTTCTCAAACTGCGCTTGTCAGACATTCAGAATTGGCCTGTAGACTTGGGACTTTCTTGGAAACCACAGCAGCAGCAAAATATTATTGACAGAGAAAGATAGTATGAGTACATATATTGAATCTGTTTTCCCCTAATTCAGCTGAAGTTTTGTGGAAAATGGCTTGTTTGCAGTCTTTTCTAGCATCTCTTCCTTGAATGATTTCTGACAAATGTGCTAAAGGCTTCTGTAGGAGGAAAACAAAAGCTCGGTCTTTTACCAAAACATACATTTCAAAATGCGGTTTTGAAAGAGGCAGAAGTAAACCAAGGGCATCGGGTGCTTCCATCAGATCCTTTAAAAATAATGTATTATTGAAATGGCATATGAAGAGGAGGAATTACTAGGGGACATAATGCCAGTTGCCATGCATAAAAGGCTATACAAATTCTTTCCTCTGCAGCTTCGTTAGGGCACCTCAGTAGCGTATACAGTACCCACAGTTTATTTAGACCTGAAGCTCAGCCACTGCAGCTCAAACGTGATTGGTCAGTTTTTGTGCTGCTCTCACCTAAATGTACCAGTCATAGCCATGTGTAGTTTGTGTGCTGAGCCTTAAACGTGATTCTAGCACCCTTTAATTTTCTGATCATAGGTTGCTTACCTAGGGTCTGCTAGTTTGCTTTTAGTTTTTGGACATGAATGCGTTACATTTTTACATGTGTACAAAGTAAGGTTTGAACCAAGAGAAATGAGTATTGCATTAAGACTCAGGCGCAAGCTCTTGCTGATTCTGATTTCTTAGGGGAATTATGTGATTAGTTCTGTATTCAGTGAGTAGACATGAAGGGAGACAGTTATAATGGTTTTTTGTAAAAGGCTACAGAGGTTGCCTATTTTTTTAACATTACAGAATAGAATGTAGAAGGAGGAGACTGGTAGGTGAGCCTGACAGATTAAAATGTCTTTCGTCGGAGATGAGATAGCAAATCCCATGTACATGCTGAGGGTTTATCACTGTGGTGTGCTTCAGTTTTGCTTGAGACTTTGCAGACTGCAGTGGTAAAAGTTAATTCTCTCACTGCAGAAGTACATAGTCCTGTTAATAAGTTAGAGAAACTCTGTTAGAAGCAGAGATACCCATGCAGGAAGAGAGATCTGTTCTGTTCCTGCACAATATGGATTTGATAACGTGCTAATAATTGTTTTTTCTGTAGAGAAGATGAGAAGGGATTTGTTATTATTTGGGAATAAAGCAAAATAATGTAGTAATTTACTAGCCTGGATTATATAAACTATGACAGTTGGGTTTGGTACTAGGTATTTTGCTGACCCATCTACATTATTGCTTTTTAATAATAATGGTGGTGATAATAACAATAATAAAATCATATTACCATAACTTTATTGTCAAATGTGAGTGTAGATTTGCCACAAGGGCAATGAGTGGACTGGAATACTTATACAAATTGGACTAATAACGTATTAACAAAATAGAGGCTACCAGATGCATGAAATGAATAAAATAAGCAACAAAAGGGACATTTTAGAAGTCCTGGAGGCTTCCCTGTGGTACTGACACTTAACCATCTGCTTCTTCCCAGCTGTGTTAAAGGGAGAAATAGGATTACTCGCAGTGGCATAAATAACAGGCGAGTGAAAATGTTCCATTCAGAATACTTGATTTATTGCTTTTATTTTTATAATAAGCAGCATTACCTTATGCTTTAATTGCTTTGTTAGTGGTTGTGAGACTTCCTCAGTAACTGACAGATTCATTCCGTTAATCGTTTCACATAGTTGTACCTACTTTCATCTGAATGTGATCTGACAGACAACCTCACCAGATCTCTTAGTGCTAATGGAATTGTAGCATCCTGGTATTTGATTATTGCATAGCAGTTCTGTACCCATCATAAAAATATCTTCATCCAGTTCAGTCAACATGTGGCAGCGTTGTGAGAACTTAGAGTTTTCTTACAAAGAAATTCGAAGCCAAGGACCATGTGGTGGTCTGGGCTCTGGTCAGATGGCTTCTGCTGTCCTGAGGAGTGTCAGACGCTCACATACCTGTTAAGAGACCTCAGTCCCCAGCTGTTGAACAGCAGTCACTGAATTTTACTCATCAATTTTATTCTGTTTTACTTTTTTCCTTGCCAAAATCTACCCCTTGCAATGAGCTTTAAATTTTTAAGTGAAAACCAGAAATCAAATCAGTGCATTTCTGACTGAATGTACTTCAAGTATTTTTGTAAGATGGGAGTGAAGTCTGGCACCAGGCTCGAATTGTGATTTGCAGTGATACTTCATTGTCTCTCTTTTCTCCTTAATGGCCATATCAAGATTAAGATTGGATTGAGAATCCACTATTTCAGCACCACAAGAATTGAAGGGTCCTTCTGGCTCAGAATTTTCCAGAATTTTAAGCAGCCGATCCTTCTCATTTTCCAAAGGCAAAATGTTTTCTCCAATGAAGTCTTCAATTATTTTTTTCAGAAGTTAATAAGTTTTAGTGTGTCTCCAGAAATGGATTCCATAAGTTCATGTATTGTTTCTCTTTATCTGATGGTGACATTCCTAACTTGTCAAGTGTTGTATACCTAAATGACACCTTCATCTTACTCCCTAAAATATATTATTTGTGAGGGTGCTTGAGATTTACAGGGAAGCTGTGGAAGCTGATTTCACAGTCTATGTTGATGTGCACACTTAGTTATATGACAAAAAAGTAGCCATATAGTTCTGTGGTTTGCATATCTTAATTATTACTGCAGTGGGATTTGCTGGAGTGTTTCAAACTGAGTCAGGATCTTTAAATAGGTAGGGGGATATAAATGTCAAAAAGTCTATCTACACGAGGTTGGTGTGCAACAAGTGGAAGAGCCCTTTGCCAGTTCTGTTGTGAGCAGCCAGTGTCAACAGAAAGCAGAGCTTGTTCACAGTCAGCAGGGAGAAACAAAAGACAGTGAGACTGAATTTGCACGAAGACCCCTGATTTAATGATGTCTTTGGCCTCATTGCGTGTTTTGAGACTGTTCCATAAAGCCTAAGACTTTTTCTAGGGAAGGTCGCATTTATTCAAAGCATAATTTATTTGCATTCCCTTTATTTCCTTTTAAGTTTTCTAACTTTAGTGCTCATGTCACAGATGAAGGAGCTTCTGCCTCACAGATTTTCCATTTACATAAAAAAAACAAACCAACCCACAAACACCCTTCACTGTCAGTGCATCCATTTTGCTGAGTG